TACAGAGCTAAGCTTGCTTTTACTGGGTATAATACTAAGGATCCTATTGCCGAGATTTTTGTTCATTAGAAATCTTTCACATTCTTTTCAGAGTCAGCGATTTCCAAGGCAGACCCATTCACAGGCATGTATTGCATATTCTTAGATATTTGAGTTTACTTTTGGCTATTCTCAAACATTCTGGATTCAGATCAGCCTTGTTCACCAATTGGACTTGACTGCTCTGCAAGTCTTTGTCATCCGCGAGTTTTATTACTAGTGACTTAATATTTAGTTTCAGATTATTGGGAATGCTTGGCCTACTGCAGACCTCTGTGGAATCCCACCAAAAACCTAATTCCCAGTGGGTTGTTCTGTGTACTTGTGGGTTTCCTACTGCGTGTTCATTGCAAGACCTCCTTAGGGGGCTTTGGTGAATTCTGGAGCGGCAAGAAGGGTACCTCACAAGGGGTCTAGCTTACCAAATTTGGCTAATGTGATAAATGTCATAAGCGTACTCCCTCATTATCAAATCTAAACACTTTTTTGGGTTTTTTTTTTTTTTTAGAATGAGTCATGTATCTATTTGTTGTTTCTTTTTTAAGTGGAAGCAAATGCTGCCTTTGAATTTCTGAAGCAGTTCTGCTATGGAAAAAAGGACAGCAAGAACTGAACACAAGTAGTTGGATGTTTAAAGAAGAATTTAAGATGCTCTCTGCTTGAAGTAATAGTGATGTCCTGGAGCATGGTGGGCAAGTTTGACCTGAAGAATCCCAAGAATAGTATGCCCTAGTGGAAATGTCTAAAATTCAATATTTTAGTCCCTCTTTTTAATACCATTTTTAATACCATTAATAGCATTTTGAGTGAGATGAAGAATTTCATTTTTATTGAATCTGTGTCCAAAACAGCTGTAGGGATGATGATCCTACTTCCTTACCTGCAAGATGCTTTCAGTGAAGGAGGTCTCTTTGCACAAGCTTCTGTTGTTGGAAAGAGTAACTGTATGCAGCCGTGCAAGGTGCATCTGTCCAACTGTGTCCAGTCCAGCACTCATCCATGTCTCATCTGCAGATCTATGAGGATTCATGGATTGCTTGTAAGGATCGGAGATGAATAAGGAAGAAAAGCAAAGGTATTAGTATCAGGCTTAAACACTTTGGGGGTTTGGTGCATTTATTGGAAAAAGCCTGAGGGTTAATAGCTCAAAGATGATTGAAAATCACTGGTCTGGTTCAGTAGTTTGACATTATAGACTAATGTATGCGTTGTTAACTGTTGCCATTGAGGAGGCAGCAACAAAAACCCCATACCTGATCTGAAAATAAACAGGCCTGGGCTTTGTCTGTGTGTGGATGTGAGGCTTAGGTGGAAAGTCTGTGAAAAGCTTGGAACTAAACAGGGCAGGTATAAGGTTGCTTCTGGCAGAGAAAGCAGTTTCTCCTGCAGCTCAGGAGAGCTGTGCTTTGAGATGCACAGACTCCCGGTTCAGTTTTCCGTTGGAACAAATTCCTCCCGAGTAAGGACAATTGTTCGTTTGATGGCTACTTCAAGACTGGGCTGGATGCAGCGAGGTAATCACTCTGCTGTCCAGATTGTACGTATCCATGCCAGGATGTACTTGCCCACTAGCTGTTTTTTATTACATTTATGGTTGAAATAGGATTTTCATTCAAAGATCTTCTGTTCAGTCAGCTGTGACTTTACAAACTAATCACTGTGGGGCAGAAACTTGATGCTTGTTCAGTGATAGATGTTTGTTTAAAGTTGGAAGAAAACTTATTCAGCCACTATCATAAGGATCAGACATTCAAATAAGCAACTGACTTTCATAAAAATGCTTAGTAAAAGCTTTCTTTTTATTAAAAAGCGTATGAAAATAATATAATCATAAAGTTGACATTTGACTTCCCAGGTCAGGAAGTTAAGGTCCTTTAAGGGGCTTTACCCATGCATCCTGGGATGTTTGCATGGTAGTAGGGTCATGCATTTCATGCATATGCACCACGGGGTATCCCCTCCTTCTGGGTCCATGCAGAGTCAGCTGCATTGGCAAAGAACGATGCTCTACGTATGACTACGTGATAGGCTTAGCCAATTGTGTATTTGATTTATTCTGCATCTCTGATAAGTACCAATATGTTCTAACTGTACGTGTTATGTCATGTATGAGCTTCAATAGCATAATAAGAAATACGAGAGTGCAATATCATCAGTTTCTGGTTTCTGAGATGCTGCACGTAAGAAATGCTTATTCTGTCATGGTCAGATTTGCTGCTGCTCATATACAGAAGGATCCTGCTTTTTGGAATCTGTGTGATGAGCTCATGTTGGCCAGCAGCTCTGATCATCTTAAATGGAGTAATTGTATCCATTGAGCTCCCGATTTTGTAAAGTCTTATGCAGCTTTCCAGTCTTGTGATGTACAGCTTCCCTAAATTTTTGGTGTGATGTAAGAAATCTTGGGTGAAATTCCCTGCTCTGTTTCGTATGAGGTCAGCCTAAATGATCTGTCTTGGCCTTAAAAAGAAAACAAATCCTATGACCCATGCTTGCCAGCATCTGGACATTTTGCTGCTCTACACTGCGTGGAGGTCGTGATTTTGTGGACTCTGGAAAACTTTACTTAAAAATCCATTTGCAAATCCATAAGGAAATGTGTGACTGGGGGCTTAGGTAGTCACAGCTGGAGTATCATGCTAGCTAGTGACAGCAGTGTGTATCCTCTAGCTTGAGGGAAGCACAGTAATTTTAGCATATATCATTTAAAAAGAAATCCATATCTGCTGCCTTCTTTAATGCAACATAAACTCTTCAAGCACAGGCTTTTCAGTGCTGCATCTTTAGAGAAGCACTTCCTATCATTCGGATATATTTGATGTTGTTCGCTGCATTACATATAGAAAGCTTTGTAATTTAGCACCTGAAACACATCTCACACTCTCCAAAGAATGGCTTGGAGAGAAAGAAATTCAGGAAAAACCTGAAGGGGTTGAAGATTCCTGCTGCAGTTGCACACTTGCACACATCTGGTGCAATTGAAATTTAAGAGCTGAATACATCCACATCTGACCATGGTAGGGTCCAAACATTACTGTTGACACTGGTTTTCTTTTTGGATAGGCACACTGGCAGAGTCACTAGCGTGTGGAGCCTTGTCAGCTCTCTAATCTAATAGACTGTTCTTGCCCAGACCATTGTGTGTCAGTATTTTATGTACCAAATGTAGCCAGGTTTAATAATCGGCTATTTTCCCACCTTCTGCCAAACTTTTCCCTTTTTGTCACAACTTAATGTTTGAGTCAAAATCTGCTATGGTAACAAATTATATACATATTAAAAAATGAAAACAAAGATGGAAAGCAGAGTCACAAAAGGTAACAAGGGTTCAAAGTAATGTTGTCTGAGTTTTTTTTAAAGACTTGAATTCAACCCCATTTTAAAATTGATTTTATTTCTGTTATGTATTGTGAAAAGATTACAAAGAAATGGGTACTGCTTGAAAGCATGACAGTAGCTCTGTATATGTAAAATTGTGAAAGTCTTCCCTGTACAGGTCTGATTTGATCCATTTGCTTTCTAGTTACAAAACGATAATTTGTGGAGCTTTTAGGATTGTATTTTTCTTACTTGGAATGGTTGAGGCTATTTATGCTTGTTTCTAGTGACTATATCTATCATGTAAAGTATGTTACCAGAAAGTTGGGGGTTTTTTACTGCATTTTTTAAAGGGCCCTCACTTGCCTTGCTGGTGGCATGAGTTGCTGCCGTCATGTACTGTGTTAGTGATGCTGAGGACTGGAGACCTTGGAGGAGCATCTCCAGGGAGTTACCTGCCTGGTGAACACCAGCACCAGCTGGAGAGGAGCTCAGTTGCCAGGAGGGCATTTCTTTGTGATTTTAATGTTTAGTAGGTTATTTCTTATTCCAAGACGATTTGAATCTCCACTGAAATACCACAGCTTGAGTGAAACTTAAACACTTTTGACACTAAAACCTGGATCTAGGTTCCAGGGCCAGGTAGGTGCTTGCAACACACTGTTGGTTGCACGAAGGATGCTAGTAAAGGCATATGTACCCAAGGTATGAACCATTTTGATCATTATAACCTGAGATGGAGCAGTTTCTGCCTCTGTCACTTACAACGAGGGATGCCATCCAGGTCTGGTGTCTACTTTACTGGGACATGGATTCTTCATGATTTTGTTTGACGTGATTACATATATGGTTTCTCCTCCCCCTGTGCCATTCCGGCACTAAAGTGAGGATGAATCTGTAGCAATGGTCAGTTACTTACCTGATTTATCAGTTAGCTAATGGTTAAGTAATTTGCACTCTAATTGAGTTCATTCCTCTCGGTAATTTAATTAGGAGATTTGTATAAGTAACAGCAATAATTGAGTGCCTTTAACAAAAAGACCAGAGCTTAAAAGAAATGTAAAGCTCAGTGCCTTACCAAGCTGCCACAGTCCGGTTCCTCTGCAGGTCGCAGGGCACCGTGTTCTCTGGTCTGTACTTTTTCAGTCTGTTCCTAATTGTGTGTTGGGGACCTCTCCCGGAGATGTGCTGTGACATGATCCCGGCATTCACTGCAACTGCTTGGGTTTTGGGACTTCCCAGGATGATTAGTGTATCTTGGTGAACAATGGTCTAAGCAACTCATTAAATTGTAGCGTATCCTCCTCCCTCTCTGTGCTTACTCCCAACTTCTGGAGAGCCGATTAGAGGCTTGGCAGGAGCTGTATGGTTATGCTCTAGATACACTTTGGATACATTATTGTCACAGTTGAGGTATTGCAAAAGCCATGCTGTTCCTGTCTTTATCCTAGTGAGGTACCTCTTTTGATTGTGCAATATCTGTGGCTAATTACATGGCAATTGCAGTGTGCCACCAGCCACCCACAATTCATTGTCAGCTCCTTGGGGATGCTGATGAAAACGGGAAGATAATGTTTTTTTTCTTCAGTCCAGTGATTTAGCTTGCCTCTTTTTTTTTTTTTTTAAATCCCCTGCTCCTTCAGGTAATAAAGCCAGATGGTAGTGACAAAGAAACAGAAGCCACACATGAATCAGATGTCCCCGAGGATATGTTGGGGACTTGCATTCCTCAAGAGACAGCGAAAGGCGATGCTAAAAGTCCGGATGTTATTATAGAAGCTCAGTTTGATGATAATGATGCAGAGCATGGACAAGACCACTTCCAGGATATGTTGGCTGATGACATTACGAAACTTTCCCTGGATACTGATGAAAAGGGTGAGTAGATCAGATTGCCGATTTAAACCTTTATTTGAGCAAACTGTTGAAGTGTTACTTTGTTGCCTTGCTTTGCTGCAAGATATAAAATACAGGCATAAAAGCCTAATGCCTTACCACTTCTATCCCTTTCCACTAAACTGCCTTTATAGTTTTGATGGATATTAAGGACTGGGTTTTATGTAGTTTTGATTGATGCAAAATAAATCTGTGAAACAGAAGTCACACCTTTAGATTTGCAGTTCTCAGGGCTGTCTGGGGACTGCTGGTTGCTGTTTAATTCAAGATGCTGCTGTAGCAGTTTCCTTCATCACAGCTTGGCTGGCCAATCTATGTGTCTCAGTTTGGGGATAAGAATATATTTCCTTGGGGGCAGTTAGGTTTGCTGCTGTTTTCAAACAGTTGAGGTATGAGCAACTTAAAGATTTGGTCCATTTAAAAAGAAAATTGCACTAAAACCTAAAGCCAATTATGTGATCTGTTTTGAAGGCAAACCTATTTTATTCTGAATCTGAATTCCATCCAAACCATCAAGTGTTGCTTAGGGCAAAACAAAATAGGCTCCCCTGTCCCAAGCTATGCTAATGCTGCTCTCTGCATGTCCTTTCTAGTACTAAATCCCCTCCTGAAGAGCTGTGTGTTGAAAGGATTCTGACAATTAGCACATTTAACATGTGCCTTCAGCTGCTGGTGAAAAATTTGCCAGGACAGATATTCTGATGCGTTCCTGATGCATGTCCCAGTTGTCCAGAAAAGATGGCAGTAACTTAGGACATAAGTAGTTGTTGGTCTGTGACAAGTCTTAGTGGTGGTTTTAAAGCTCTTCTATTTAATACCTCGAGTTTTCCTGAGAGATTGCTTTTGAAGATGCACAGACCTCTGCCTATACTGTTGGTAGGCTTCCATTTTTCACACCCATCTGTTAATAAAATTGGAAATAACATTTGAGTGGAAGTGTTGTAGTTTTTATGACAAAACATTGGTTTCAGCTCATGAATGGAGCTGCCACCTCACCAGTTTGTGCTGCTGTTTCCTTCTGGGTACCTCTACTGTCTTTGAGTTACTGCCAAAGTATGTGAACCAACTTCGGTCTTGTTCCATTACTTTCCAGCATAGGACTTGAGTTGGGAGTTACTCGTCTTGTCTGCAGATGTTTCACGCAGCTAGCTATAAACCCCATCTTTTTTGCAGGCTTGGACACTGTGTTATAGCTGTACATCCTTGAGCTGCCACTTTGACTCTCACTCGACAATTCTAAATCCCCTAAAATGCTCCTGAGTCACATGTTGTGTCTGTTGCATCTCTGTTGCTTCTGACAGCAATACCAAATTAAAATTCAGATAAATACATTCTAATTTGACACCAGCATCTGAAATAAATACAGACTTGAGCCAATATTTTACTTTACCTGTATAACTGTCCTTCAGTGTAAAGGCTTGATGAGAGTTACTTTTCTTGATGCATCATAGTTCCTCGAGATGCTCTGGAGTGACCTGTGCTGGAGGTTATCAAGTCATCTCTTGAAATCTGTGCCATCTGAGCAGTTTTTGCCGTTTAATTCTATCTTTGGAGAATACTTGTAGGGCAGATGTTAGATCAGCTTATTGTCTACACAGTTGAAATCCAACCTACTTTTCCATTGCAGTTGCCTAAGCCAGCTGTTTTCTTTTGTTTTCAAGGCCTTTCCATGTTCATCGTTAACAAGCCTTGTGGCTGGTGTGGATGAGCCAGTTAGATTTCTGCTGAGTTTGTATTTTGCTATCACCTCTTTTAAGAGTTGCTTCAGCTTCTTTGGCCATATATCCCATATGGATTTCTCTCTAGTTTCTTCTTGCTCTGCTTTTTAATGCCCTCCTTTTTTCATACATATAAAGTTTATGATGCTGCTTTTTCTGAAGGTGTTTTTGAGCAGTTGATGATTGCTTTGGCTTGTTTCCTGTCTTTCATGCAATTTCTCATATCATCACTTATCCAGATTTTAAGTCTTGCCTGGAAAACAGCTATAGTTATTCTAGCATCAGTGATAACTGTCATGAAAAAAGAAAAGATCCTGCCAAATTCAGCCTTCACAGGTGTGGCTCAAAATGCTTTTTTAAGAGGACCAAACATACACTTTTTCAAGGCAGAACTTAGCTAAAGCCATCCACTGGAACATGGGGCCGGCACTGGGAGACAGAGTGCTTTGCAGGGTTGGACCATAGTGAGTGGAAGTGCCCTTTCCTGTGTAACATGGGTCTCTCCTGGGAGGGCTGCTGGGCTGATGCTGCCCATTGAACTTTTCCTTTCAAGCTAACTGCATACGAGTCTTTCCTTTTAAGTTACATCCGTTCTGCTGGAAACAACTACTGCAGCAAAACAGAGAGGTGGATGGGAGATGAGATCCCATGGAGTGATTTCTCGCTGACCCACTAAAACTGGTGCTTTATTTACTTTCCCTGAGAGCATTGCTTTGTAGGGTTTGTTACACAGACTCATTGCATGGCCTTATGCACAGGAGGGACCAGGAGAAATAATTTGTGGCCAGTGCAACTCTTAAATGAACACTTGCAGTGGACTTTCTTCTTTTTTTCCCTAGCATAGGGCAGTCTGAAGGTTTCAAGTTGGATAAAGATGGCATCAAGGGTATCATGTTTAATGAAATAAAATAAAATAAAAAACCAGTCTGTCCTGTTCTTGTGTGTACTTTATGTATGTATATGCACACGTATATGTGTGTGTGTATATGTATGTATATATATAAAAAGATCCATATATATATGACCTAAACGAAATCCAAACTAAACACCCCCACCCCACCCCCCCGCCCCCTGATTTCTGGGACTGAAAAATATCCATAGCTACCCTAATAGAATCAAAAGTAGATTTAACTCATTCTGGGGTGAAAAAACAGAGCCATGTTGCTCTAGACATTACCAGATGGTGCTCAAATCTTTGTGCAGGTACACAAGCTCTGCAGATTGGTGCCTCTCAGTTGCAAGATGGCCTTTGTCCATTCTGACGGAGGTGTAGAATTACGCAATATCTTTGCTGCTGGCTCATTTGTTCTGCTGCTGATGGTCAGAATGTACCATGAAGAATAAAAGTAGATGTGTTGCTTGAGTAAGAGCACTCTGGGTCACGCTGGGAGTGCAGGGTGTTTTGATATCTTTTCTACCCTGGCCTCTGTCCCATCCCTCGTTGTGGCTCTGTTCCTCTTCAGAGCACCAGTCATCCCCTCCATCTCTAGTTACGCACTGGGGCAAAGAATTTCAGGTTGGCCCTTGCTGTCAGAAGCTCTGAAGCATGAAACATTGTGTATGCTGATTATGGCCCAGATTTGAGTGGACTGAATTTCCCTGAAGTCACTATATGTTGGGCTTCCTATACCTCTGTGGGGCTTAAAGCAAACTGGTAGAAATTGTTATGCATGGGGCTGCAGGCTGAGACTCAGACATTGGATCTGTCTTCACTAAGTGCTGCAGTTATGAGAGCTGTACTTCCTGTCCTTCTCTTCCTGAGACCCCAGAAGGGATGGGATAAGCAAGAGGGAAGTCTACAGAAGTGAAGAGGCATTCACATTCAGCCTAATTGTCAGCCCGTGTACTTTCTGAAAGTTCTTGTGCTCATAAAAGTGCATCAGTCTTGCTTTGCTCAAGGATATTTAAATAAAAGTTCATAACTGGTGTCACTATGCCAGAAGCTGTCCTGGTCAAATGAGTTTGCTCTGCTTTTCTGAACTCTTCTTGCAAAGAAGTTGGGTTAAAAATTATCTTCAGAAAAGTCTCTGATCTACGAAGTGGTGAGCCATTTTCCTCTCCAGCACACTGTTCTACACAAAGAACAGTATTATCCTGTCCCAAAGTTAGATTTTCTTAATGTTAAGTTTTGGTCATTGGAGGTAGGTCTTTTTTAGGAAAGTTGGGGGTCTCTTTCCTCTTGCATTTTCAGCTGTAATTCCACAGTGTAAATATCTCTACAAACTGAACAAACTTTCTCTCTTTTTTTCTTTACAAAGACAGTAAGAATGAGCACCCTGAAGAAAGTTTCTCAGCTCTCTTACTAGTGTCCTTCAAAGCCTCTCTGGGATTTCTGTGCCCTGTTGAAATGCAGGCAAAGAACAAGGCAATAGCATCCAGGCACTAGTCTGAACAATATTGCGTACACAGAAAAGATTAATTCTCTATAGTGCTTCATATAGACATGCAAGTCCTCTGTGTTTCACCCTGAGACCTCAACTTAGTCTGTGTCACTGCTATCCAGAGAAGTCACCCACCAGTCAACACGACCTTTGCCAGGTCTGTAATTCTTTTCCTTAATCCTCATTCACATTGACTACTGCAACAGAGGCAATGTAACTTTTATCACTTAGTCCTGAACTGGATTACATTATTTCTGTGACTTGTCACTGCAGTAGAAGGATTTTCCTTATACTGCATTTCAATATGTAATAAAAATTAGAAACTTCTCTGTATCCTCCCAACCCAGGAAAAATGCAAAATGTTCTGTACAGAACACTTTACGATGCTGTATCCCTACACAGACTTGCATCTCATGAGTTTCATACAAATGTGAGCTGTCTCTTGTTAAATATTGGAATCAGCTTACTCTGATAAAGAAACATCAGCAATTGAACAGTAGCAGCTATTTGTACTCTTGAGAATGGCAGCTGTGCTCATAGAAGTGCCTCAGCCTTTCTTACTGAAAGTATATTCAAAGAAAAGTTTGTAAAACTGTGTCACTATGCCAAAAGCTGTCCTTGTCAAACTAGTTTGCTCAGTTTTTTTCAACTCTTCTCACGAGAGATCTTACTTTACCAGATATGCAGAATATCCTGCTTCCCACGGGGTGGCTCACAGAAGTCATGAAGTTGGTGGACTGGCTGACCTGGCAGCAATCAGATAGTTTTGTTTGTTCAGGATTTCCACTTACAGCTACACTTCTGCAAATCAGAATTTGAATATGTGAATGTCCAAGGCTTGCTCACTGCCTTGACGTAATGAAGTTTGAACAGAAATAGCTCA